GGGGGGGGGGGGGGGGGGGGGGGGGGGTCATGCCATGCTGAGTGCTTCATGCCAGTTGTTCACCAATCAGCACACAACACCTCACCTACCTGCCCACCATCCCCCACCAAAGGATCTTTGTCTACCTGTCTGTCTGCAAACCAACCAATCAGAGAACAGAATGAGGACACAGAGGAGGCAGGACAGACTGACGCCGGGACTCCTCCATCAGCGGGACAGCTCCGCCCTGCAGCGTTCAGGAGGCGCACCCCAGAAGGCCTACATCTCCCAGAATGCAGTGCTGCGGCCAGGGAAACGTTTTGTTTAGAAGATGAAACATGGGACAGCTGCAGCTTAAACATGAGGCACAAACACTTTGATCTTAGACGTAAAAACATCAAGTATGAAAACTGAGACGTGTGGTAAATACATGAATAAATAATAAAGTCTGTGGCTTTTTAATCAGATAATCCTGAAACTTTCCTCAAAGTGGCAGTTTTCACTGACAGCTATCTGTCAACCCACAGCAACACGAATGGTCTAAACACCTGTCAATCAATCAACAAACAAAACATTAGCCAATCAGAGACTGAAGCTGATCGCATTAGGAAGAGGAACCTCTGGGCCTGTTTCAACAACTTCCTGTCAGTTTATCAGGGGGTCAGTGGAGACCCACGGCTGCAGGTCAGTGGGGGCCCACGGTCGCGGGTCAGTGGACCTCAGTGTTACAGCCAGTAAACAGAGTTGATCCTGAACTTTAACACAATGTTCAGTCAGACAGAGTTCACTCCTGTAGTTGTCCTGATCTGTTGACATGTAGTTCTGTAATGCAGGTCCACACTCAGTGTAAACAAAGTACTCTGCTAAAAAGAACCATGTGGAAGCTTTAGTCACATGACGGGCTGGGCCTAGTCTGATGGAAGTGAGCAAACATCAGAAGACTAGAGAACTCCCAGAAGACATTTGGGGAAAATGTACGAGTTCATCTGCTGCTCAATGCCAAAGATAAATGTGAGGTCCTGCAGGTGTGAGTGTCAAAACGTACCAACACCCAGACAGACATGGACTCTGACTGTGGTGGAGAAGACAAGAGGTGAGCAAAGTAACCCCCCCCCCCCCCCCCCCGCGCCTCATGAGGTCCTGGACAGATGCAGCAGCTCCTTCAGAGAGGAGCTGAGAAGCTCCAGAGACAGGAAGTCATTCCTACCAGTGACCATCAGACGGGTTTCCATCTCCCTCAACAACCAGTCAGAAGCCAGAACTCCCCGGTAGAACAAGGTTTGTTTTAATTTTCTTTCATTACTTCTTGTCTTTTTGTTTTATCCATCTTTATCCGAGTGGCAGAAGATGATTCTAGTTTATTTTAATCTGCGAGGGGCTGCAGCAACAGATCTGATGCAACAAACAGGAAGTGAAAGGACTTCTCTGATCCAAATCAATAATGAGCAGGTGTGTGTGTGTGTGTGTGTACCTGTGGACAGCTGGGACTGGGACCTCCTGCGGGAGCTGCTGGGGGTTCTGGAGGTCAAGGACACTGTGGATCCGGTGCTGCTGGCCCGAGAGATGGGGAGGGGAACCGGCGTCACAGGAGGGGAGTCCAGCTGAAGAAAAGTCAAAGGTTAACAAGCAGAAAAACACATAAAAACATTTTTACGTCTCTTTTCTCTGGACGTTCTTGTTAAACTTGAATTCTTTTAATAAATGAGTCATCTGATGTTTATTGTTTGTGTTTGCAGTTCAGATGATAAAGTTTATTTATAAACCTTCTCTGCAAAGTTTGTTTTCCTCACAAAAAATAACATTTAAAGATTTTGAAAATAATACAGTTTCCTGAGCGTGCTGGAGGTGTTTTCAGTTTGGGTGACGTGACGTTTGGACTTTGGTCCAGATTCATTTTAAACATTTATATTATTTATATTAAAAATATGGATATAAAATGAAGAATTAAAAACTGAAGATTCTTTACTCTCTCCACTCTTTAACGTTAGAGACAACATTTTAAGTGTTAAAGTAGATTTTTATTCTAGATTCGGTGGTTTTTAGCTTCAAAAAGCTAAAAACCAGGTGGGAGGTACAGTCAGTCCTATTTGGACCTCCAGAACCAGCAGCCAAAGCTGGACCGGGTTAGAAAGTTGGACTGAACTGTTTTCACATCTTTACTTCTTCTCAACCCCAGGACAACATGGAGGATCCTGGAGAACGTTGGTTGAACTTGACAAAACTTTTCCAACAGACTTATTTTCAGTCCCTTTCTACTTCCACCATTTATAAATTAAAGTTCTTGGTCTTCTGTCCTGCGGCGTCTCTTCTGTAGGACTGATGTTTTTTTTTCCTCGGGTCAAGAAGTTCTTTTGATCCAACTTGCAGGTTTCACACAAACACCGAGGCTTACTTTCTACTCGCCGTTTCTTTCTGCCGTCCTCCCCCTTTTACCAGAGGGGAAGAATCACCATGGCAACCAGTAACTCAGCAGATTCTGATCTTTTTTACCCAGCATGCCTTCTGTTTTCATCATGGTCGCCCCCATGGACCCTGTAGAACCTCAGACTTCATGTTTTCTCTAATCGGACCTCTGAGGTTCAGGAGGATTTAGTCAGAGGGTCGGCAGGAAACAGGAAGAGGTTTGAACCAGGTGTTTCAAAATAAAACTAGTTGATAGTCTTCAAAATAAGAGTCTGTCATGACTCAGATTATTACAAAAGGAAGTCCCAAATAACTTCATGTCATGAAGACAGGGGTCAAGACCCTGGCCCCCCATGGGGGGTGGACGATGCTGACACCCACCTGCTGCAGTCTGCTCACTCACACCTGGATGGTCGTGGAGGTTCTGTCAGAACCATGTCAGATGTTTTCAGCACCGTCCAGCCTTCTTTACAGAGTCGGTGCATTTACTGACACCCTGGACCTGGACTCGTGGGGGACCACAGGGACACCACTGGACCAGTCCGGTTCGCTCTGTACACCCCAGACAACTGTATCAGGTCATCTTCAGAAGTCCTGTGGTGGTGAGGTGTGTTAGAGGTGGACAGGAACCAGAGGACAGGAGTCATCTGCTCCTCAGGACAAGACAGAGGAGCAGAGGAGGAGGACCACTTCAGGAGGAACGTTACAGAACATCTTGGAGAAGGACGTGGAGGTCGTGGACACTTGAACAGCAGACTGGAGGAACAGGCAGACTCTTTTCTGAGGATGCTCAGATCCTTCAGCTGGAGGTCTGTGGGGGCAGTAGGATCTCCTGCACCTCCTACGGGGAGAGCAGCGGGCTCAGCCTGGATAATCGTCATGTCTGGTGGGGTTTCTTGCAGTTTTTGTCCACGTCCTGTGACGTTCTGCTTCAAACAGCCACAGCAGACCAATCCCGATCGTTGTTCTGTGATTATTGAGCATGCATCAGGATGTTCTGTGATTTATTTCAGAGCTGCGCAGCAACGAAACAGATGAATATTTGAAGAGAACCATCATAAAGTCATTATTTGACAAACTGAATAATAAAACATGATATTAATGGGGGACTTTGGGGTTGATCCGTCCATAACTGTGGCTGAAGTCACCGAGGTAGTTAAAAAGCTCTGAGGCAGCAGGGCTCCAGGAGTGGATGATTTCCTTAAAGCTCTGGATGTTGTGGGGCTGTCTTGGCTGACACGCCTTTGCAACATTGCATGGACATTGGGGGCAGTGCCACTGGACTGGCAGATGTTTGTGGTTCTCTTCTTCAAAAAGGGGGACCGGCAGATGTGCTCCAATTATAGGGACATCACTCTCCTCAGCCTCCCTGGTAAGGTCTATTCAGGGGTACTGGAGAAGCGAGTCTGATCGTAGGTCAAATCTCAGATCCAGGAGGAACAATGTGGGTTCCATTCTGGCCGTGGAACACTTGATCAGCTCTTTATCCTCACTAGGGTCCTCGAGGGGTCATGGGAGTTTGCCCATCCAGTCTACATGTGTTTTGTGGACTTAAAAGAAAGCATTTGACCGTGTTCCTCAGGGTACACTGTGGGAGGGGTGCTCCGTGAGTATGGGATTGGGGGCCCGTTGTTACAGGCTGTTCAGTCCCTATACAAGCGGTGCGAGAGTTTGGTTTGCATTGGTGGCAGTAAGTCGGACCCCTTAAGGGTGGGAGTTGGACTCCTCCAGGGCTGCCCGTTGTTACCGATTCTGTTCATAACTTTTATGGACAGAGTTTCTTGGTGCAGCCAGCTGGCGGAGGGTTTCCGGTTCGGTGGCCTCAGGATTCCATCTCTGCTCTTTGCAGATGATGTGGTCCTGTTGGCGTCATCGTGCCATGATCTTCAGTTCTCACTGGAGTGGTTCGCAGTTGAGTGTGAAGCAGCTGGGATGAGAATCAGCACCTCCAGATCTGAGGCCATGGTCCTCAACTGGAAAAGGGTGGATTGTTCTCTTCAGGTCGAGGGTGAGGTTCTGCCTCAAGTGGAGGAGTTCAAGTATCTTGGAGTTTTGTTCATGAGTGAGGGAAGAATGGAGCATGAGATTGACAGACGGATTGGTGCAGCATCTGCAGTATTGCGGACTCTGTACCGATCCATTGTGGTGAAGAGAGAATTGAGCTGTAAAGCAAAGCTCTCTGTTTACCAGTCAGTCTACGTTCCTACCCTCACCTCTGGTCATGAACTCTGGGTAGTGACTGAAAGAATGACATCATGGATACATGAGGTTGAAATGAGTTTCCTCTGCAGGGTATCTGGACTCTCCCTTAAAGATAGGGTGAGCAGTTCAGTTATCCGGGACAGACTCGGAGTAGAATCGCTACTCCTCCACGTCGAGAGGAGCCAGTTGAGGCGGTTCAGTCATCTGGTAAGGATGTTTCCTGGGCACCTCCCTAGGGAAGTGCTTCGGGCATGTCCGACTGGGAGGAGACCCCGGGGAAGACCCAGGACACACTGGAGAGACTGTCTCTCCAGTGTATCCTGGAAATGCTTTGGAGTCTTCCCAGAAGAGCTGGAAGAGGTGGCTGTGGAAAGAGATGTCTGAACCTCCCTGTTCAAGCTGCTGCCCCCGTGACCTGACTTCAGAACAAGAGGAAGATTACGGATGGATGGATATTAATGTCTCTGTGCAGCAACGAAACAGATGAATATTTGAAGCGAACCATCATAAATTCATTATTTGACAACATGAGTAATAAAAATAATAAAACATGATATTAATGTCTGGTGGTGACACAAATAAAAACCTTTACACTGCTCTTAGTGTGAAACCTTCAGTGTGAGAACCTTTCAGGTGGGCGGGGCTTGGTCTTACCTCCATGCTGTTGTGGGTGGGTGAAGATGAGGTGGACGAGTTCTCAGGTCTCCTGGACGATGAAGACGAGGAGCTGAGCTCGACACTGCGAACTCGCTGAGCAAACTTCAGCGAACACATGGACTCGCTCATGTTGCCGGGCAACGGAGATACCTGCAGAGACAGCAAGCATAAGAATAGAGCGCGGGGGGGGACAAGGTCCTCAACTGGACTCACCTGCACCATCATGAGCGTCTTGCTGTCTCCGCTCAGGGAGTCCTGCAGCAGGTAGGTGAGGCGCGAGTTCCTGAACGGGACGTGGGCCTGCCTGCTGCGCAGTGCGCTGATGACATCACCGAGCGCCGACAGAGATTTGTTGATGCACTGAGCTTCTCGGAGCCGGCTGCCCTCCGCGCCAGACTTCCCAATTCGTTCTGAGCCCGCAAGGTCCACCAGGTTCAGCCTCCCTGAAATGGACCACACAATGAGAACAGGAAGAGGAAGCAGCTCATTTCCTGTCTGACAGAGTTTCACTCCCATCATTAAACAGGGGTGGAGGCCTCCGTGTTCAACTGTCCCCCTCTTACAATGCTGTTATTGCTAGTATCACTCAACCCCCTGTGAATAGTAAACAGCCATCAGGGTGCTAATGACCCATCGTTAGGCTGTCGGTCCTTCTTGATCATGTGAACAGCTGTTTTTGGTTGTCAGCAGCAAACTGGTTGATCCACTCTGAGATGGTGCTATTTTTAAGACTGAGCTGAATACAGCACCTCAGACTGAGGAAGTCTTTCAGATGAAAGACGAAACGTTTCTACTTTTTTTGTTTTTTGAATGTCCAGAGGACCAGACTTAACTTTTTTAGATTTTTCCACCTGGATTATTGAGCATGCATCAGAATATTCACTCCCATTAGTTTAATCAGTTTCTTGAAAACTGAAAGACTCTACATCTAAACCTGTTTGGAGCCAGACATCCCATAATATACACCAAGGTGCACATTAAACACCTCTGGTTGATGAAAGTAAACAAAAACCTTCTGAAGTTTTAATCAAATCCAACATCTGTCACTGAAATTAAACTCCAGCTGCAGAACTTCTTGATGCTGGTCCAGCTTTCCTCTTCACAAGGACATGTCCATCACCTGACTGTGTCCAAATCACAGCACAATGTCCCCACAAAGACATGTCCATCACCAGACTGTGTCCAAATCACAGCACTATGTCCCTACAAGGATATGTCCATCACCTGACTGTGTCCAAATCACAGCACAATGTCCCCACAAGGATATGTCCATCACCTGATTGTGTCCAAATCACAGCACAACCTGAGTCAGGGGGTGGGGTCTGGTTGGACCTGAGCCAGGGTGCGGGATCTGGTAGGACCTGGGTCAGGTGGTGGGGTCTGGTCGGACCTGGGTCGGGGGTGGTCTGCTGTTCAAATGGACAGTAGAACAAACCTTGCGTGCAGGTTCCGGTGGTGCTGTTGGATCCAGACACGGTGATGACGAGCAGGGCGTGGGAACGTGAACTGTGCTCATTCAGGTTGGTGCATGCTGTAGCTCTGTTCACATGACCCAACTCAAACACCTGGGGACAAGTAAACACACCAGGAAGGGATCATCTACATGCAATACTTTCAACAACATAACTAAATACAAGACTCGCACACCTGCAGTAACAATATGTTAAATATTATACCACATTATATATTCTTTCATTCAACCTTTATTTAGACAGGTAAATCCCATTGAGCCCCGAGGACTCATTTACAAGAGAGACCTGATATTAAATATATAGAGAGATATTATGTCTGGAACATAATATCAGGTGTAATATTTTTGCCCAATCACCCATCAGGTTTCTGTCCTCTCTCTACATTCTTAGTCGTCGTAAAATGACCTCCATGCTCTGGTAGCAGAGCTCTGGTTAGACCAGTCTTTCTCAAATAGTGGGGCGCGCCCCCCTAGGGGGGCCCGGAGCAATGCCATGGGGGGCGCATGCGACCCCGAGGAACATTTTGCGGTAGGGAGTAGGTTTTTTTTTTCACCATTCTTATTTTCTCAGGGTGCGTTCGGCAACTGTTTACTAAAATCTGGCAACTCTTAGGCTGACTAATAATAAAGTTATGAACAAATATGTCTGTCTTGTCGTTTGGGGAGCCATGCTTGAACCATGTTGTTTCCCTCTGCTGCTGAGCAGCTGGTGACGCTCGTCACCCGCAGCACACGTTACCTGCCCCTCTTCCTCTTTCACTTTGACGTTTTTATTTTTGTTTGTTTTTTAGTTTGTCAAAGCACAATTTGGATGTTTTTTTTAAATACAGAAGTAATGTTTAATAAATGATAAATGTTAGGACTCTATTCTTTGCTAACAAATCCTCCGCTCTGGACACATTTCACTCACAGCGCAGCAGCAACAAAGAGTATAAACTCAAAGCGAGAGCAACACCTGCCCCCACTTCTTTCACAATGACAACATTTTTTAGTTTGATCGATTGTCAAAGTACAATTTTGATGTTTTTTTTTATTTGTTGGAAAAACATGTTTAACAAATGTTAGGACTCTATTCTTTGCTAACAAAATATATTTTGTCATTAAACAACTTGTCAGGTTCTTCTCTTGTGAGTGCGTTCCCCTGGACCCACCCACCCACACCCCTCCCCCCCCCCCCCACACACACACACACCCCAGCTCACTCGCTCTTGCGCTCTTTGCAACTTCTCTGCTGCTCTGAGACCAAGTCTCAAGTCCAGGTCCAGCTAAACATTGAGCAGGAGCTGAGAGTTGCAGGATCATGTTTCAAACTTCAAAAAGCTGTGCACTGCAAAACGTGCTCATTGTGGCCATTAATCCTGACTTCCTCATTTTGATAAAAAAAAAAAAAAATCAGCACAAATCGTTTTATTAATTTTTGTTTTGTAGGTCAAAGTGTTGTATATAACACTCCTGACTTAAAATGTTGTAGATCAATTTGAATTTACTATTATTTATTGATTGTATTTAATTTCATTTTTCAGTATCAAATTGTCAAAAATGTTTACAGTTTAAATAAGGATAGATTTTTTTTTCAGGCAAATTGATGCACTTTATGTCTTTTCTGTTACAGACTATAAAAACAATGTTAATAATCTTTGTTGTAAGTTGATCTATATTTCTATCTTTTTTAATTTAATGTTAATAAGGATACAATGTTATGTAGAAGTGTACTTATAACAATTTTATAGACAAATTATACTATTTACAGTCGTGGCGGTGAGTTGGGGGGGGGGGCGCGAAATGTTTACTTCTTCTTAGGGGGGCGTGTAACTGAAAATAATTGAGAAGCACAGGGTTAGACCTACCTGTAAAGAACTTCATTACCTAAAGTTCTGATCTGGTTAGAATGATTACAGAATACTGTTGTGTCCCATTTTCATATAATACATGATTTTCATTTGTTTGAGTAAAATAAGGAGTCCTCTGAGCGTTTATAAATTGATGACACAACACACAGCACAAACACACAACGTGACAACGTGTAGCTTCCACAGATCAGATACACAATGGTCTTCTCAAGATGGCTGCCATCAACCTCACCCAGCACTGCTAGTGTCCATTCAAGTGTTTCACTGGATAAAACCAAATAGTGTTTAAACTTAAGAAAGACAAACAGGGCATCCTCACCTTGTTGATGTCCTCCGGGCTCTTTACAGTGATCTCGGTCAGTCCGGGGACATAAAGCTGTCCGCTGCCATCAGGGTTCAGTTTTATGTCTAGTTTCTCTGTGGGATTCTCCCCGAGCAGGTCACTGCAGGACAACAGGCAGTTTGAGCCTCTAGACATGACTCAGGACAGCACAGTTCAGCAACAGGACAACTCAAAGTGCCTCACGAACTTTCTACCGTCTGAATAAACCTGTTGGTACAGTGGGGAGAACAAGTATTTGATAGACTGTTGATTTTTCAGGTTTTCCCACTTGCAAAGCTTGTAGATGACTGTAATTTTTATCATAGGTACTCTTCAACTGTGAGTGATGGAATCTAAAACAAAAATCCAGAAAAATACAATGTATGAATTTTAAATAATTAATTTCCATTTTATTGTGTGAAATAAGTATTTGATACACCAGAAAAATGAAACTTAATATTTGGTACAGAAACCTTTGTTTGCAATTACAGAGATCAGACGTTTCCTGTAGTTCTTGACCAGGTTTGCACACACTGCAGCAGGGATTTTGACCCACTCCTCCATACAGATCTCCTCCAGAGCCTTCAGGTTTCGGGGCTGTCGCTGGGCCACACGGACTTTAAGCTCCCTCCAAAGATTTTCTATGGGATTCAGGTCTGGAGACTGGCTAGGCCACTCCAGGACCTTAAGATGTTTTCTATGGAGCCACTCTTTAGTTGCCCTGGCTGTGTGTTTTGGGTCGTTATCATGCTGGAAGACCCAGCCACGACCCATCTTCAGTGCTCTTACTGAGGGAAGGAGGTTGTTGGCCAAAATCTCACGATACATGGCCCCATCCATCCTTCCCACAATATGGTGCAGTCGTCCTGTCCCCTTTGCAGAAAAGCTTCCCCAAAGAATGATGTTTCCACCGCCATGCTTCACGGTTGGGATGGTGTTCTTGGGGTTGTACTCATCAATCTTCTTCCTCCAAACATGAAGAGTGGAGTTTAAACCAAAAAAGTTATATTTTTGTCTCATCAGACCACATGACCTTCTCCCATTCCTCCTCTGGATCATTCAGATGGTCATTTGCAAACTTCAGACGGGCTTTGACATGCGTTGGCTTGAGGAAGGGCACCTTGCGTGCACTGCAGGATTTTAATCCTTGACGGCGTAGTGTTACTGATTGTTTTCTTTGAGACTGTGGTCCCAGCTCTATTCAGGTCATTGACCAGGTCCAGCCGTGTAGTTCTGGGCTCATTCCTCACCTTCCTCAAGATCAATGATGCTCCACGAGGTGAGATCTTGCATGGCGCCCCAGACCGAGGGAGATTTTCCGTTATTTTGTATTTCTTCCATTTTCTAATAATTGCACCGACTGTTGTTGCCTTCTCACCAAGCTGCTTGCCTATTGTCCTGTAGCCCATCCCAGCCTTGTGCAAGTCTACAATTTTATCCCTGATGTCCTTACACAGCTCTCTGGTCTTTGGGCATTGTGGAGATGCTGGAGTCTGATTGATTGAGTGTGTGGACAGGTGTCTTTTATACAGGTCCAAACAGGTGCAGTTAATACAGGTAATGAGTGGAGAACAGGAGGGCTTCTTAAAGAAGAACTAACATGTCTGTGAGAGCCAAAATTCTTACTGGTTGATAGATGATCAAATACTTATTTCACACAATAAAATGGAAATTAATTATTTAAAAATCATACATTGTTTTTTTCTGGATTTTTGTTTTAGATTCCATCACTCACAGTTGAAGAGTACCTATGATAAAAACTACAGTCATCTACAAGCTTTGCAAGTGGGAAAACCTGAAAAATCAACAGTCTATCAAATACTTGTTCTCCCCACTGTATGTTGTCTAGGTATGTCTGATTAATGGGATAATTTGTGTTAGGCTATCTGAACTGGGTTTAAGTGGCCAAGGCAGCTCACATCCTGCACCTGATTACAACAAAGTGACTGCTTGTCTGATTCTGTTTGTCTTTTCTGTTAAAAAGGTTGTAAATTCATTGCACACCCTTGGTAGATAAAGGTTGAGGTATCAGCCCAGTATGCTTTATTAGCCTGTCAGTGGCAGCAAACAGGGAACACGTATTTATGATAAACAACTACACAGAGACTTGAAAAATTAAATCTGACCCTCACCCTGTAGACTGTTGGCAAAAAAAAAAAAAAAAAAAAGATTTAAACAGGAAATCTAAGATGGTGTTTGAAGTATTTTGGAAACAGCACTTCCGTATTTACACACTTGGTGCTTCATGCTTTTATTGCAGTCATAATTCAGTCACTGTCAGTATAAATTGAACATAAGTTGTTTTGTTTTTTTGTCAATGTCAAAGTGAAAATCAAAATTCTGCAGCACCCTACCAATAAAAAAATTGTAATTTAAAATATGTGATTGCATAAATATTCACTTTTAAAGTGACTGTCCTAATTCAACTGAGAGAAAATATTATGGGAAAAAAAACAAGTCAGAGGATGGATGGATAAAGGATTTCCAAGACGCTGAACATCCCCAGGAGTTCTGCTTAATCCATCAATAGAAAGAATATGAGACACGTGTAAATCTACCAAAAGCAGGCCGTCCTCACAACCTGAGTGACCTTGAAGAAGGACAATAGTGAGAGACCACCAAGACCCTGGTGAGCACTCTGAAGGTGTTACAAACTTCAAGTGAGATGGCAGAGACTGAGCATACAGCTACATGTTAGAGTCCAGAGCGTGGACAGCTATAGAAACACGTCAGAATCCAGATCGTAGTTAGCTATAGAAAAATGTCAGTGTCCAGAGTGTGGACAGCTATAGAAACACGTCACAATCCAGAGCATGGACAGCGATAGAAATATCTCATAATCCAGAGTATGGACAGCTATAGAATAATGTCAGAGTCCAGAGTGTGAAATGCTACAGAAACACGTCAGTGTCCTGAGCTTGGACAGCTATAGAAACACGTCAAAGTCTAGAGCTTGGACAGCTACAGAAACACGTCAGAGTCCAGAGCATGGACAGTTATCGAAACACTTCAGAGACCATAGCGAGGACAGCTATAGAAACATGTCAGTGTCCTGAGCATGGACAGCTATAGAAACATGTCAGTGTCCTGAGCATGGAGAGCTATAGAAACATGTCAGAGCCCAGATCATAGTTAGCTATAGAAAAACATCAGAGTCCCAAGAGTGGACAGCTGTAAAAACACGTCAAGAGTCCAGTGCGTGGACAGCTATAGAAACACGTCACAGTCCAGAGTGTGGACAGCTATAGAAATATTTCATAATCCAGAGTGTGGACAGCTATAGAAACACGTCAGTGTCCAGATCTTAGTTAACTATAGAAATATATCAGAGTCCAGAGCAAGGACAGCTATAGAAGCACGTCACAGTTCAGAGCGTGGACAGCTATAGAGATACAGTAGGTCAAGAATCCAGAGAGTGGACAGCTATAGAAACAGTACTACTCGCTGATGATTAAAATGAGGAAGAGGTGGAAGAAGAAGCCTTCATAGTACAAGAAAGCCATGAGCTGTTTTGAAAATAAAACCAGTTGATATTAAATGGTTATTTATTTTAGACACTAAAGCTCCCAGTATACTCCCGCGTACATCCGTTCACGCATACGTACACGTGTACTGTACGCTGAGGGTACAGACTTCAAACTCGAGCATACACCCTGAGCAGCTGCAGAGCAGCTTCACAGACAAGGGGTGTTTACCTTCGGGACAAATTGAGTTTGCTGATTGGCCATTTGCTGACATGCCTACTGGATTGATTGACAGGTCGGGAAGAAAAAAATACGAGCGCTGGCAGCCTCAGCTGCAGCGGTGTTCTGTGTTTATATGTTGTTAATAAAAAGATCTTAAAAAAAAATAAAAATACAGGGAGCACTGGCTCTGCAGCCCACACATCAGACCAGCCCACCAGGAAATCTCTAGACCCTCCCGCAGCCACGCTGGACATGAGTTTAATTAGCTCGTGACAAATCCCTTCATTTCTCACCATTTCAGTCATGGCATCAATGGAGGAGGAAGAGATCACTTGCCTCTTGGCAAAAAAACAAAAGAAAAGGTCAGATCATGGATGAAGAAGGGGAATTCTCCAGCATGTCGTATAAATTGAGCTTTGTACGGACATGCCCTGGGGGGTACGCTTGTACCTCCGTGTACGTACATGTGTACCTTCGCATATGGACGTACGCGGGAGTATACTGGGGGCTTAAGAATGCACAATGTAGCATTACTATTTTTTTGTCCTATTGTTGCCAATTTGATTGTTACAGAAACCAACTTGTTGAGTGTTGAATATTATTAAACATCTGCATCTGACAGCATATAGGTATTGATGTGAAACAGATAAATATTTGGGTCTGTATTTAAATCCCACACTACTAAGGCATCTGTGGTTCCATGCTCCACACAAGGTGCCCTTATCTCCACTTGAGCACCTGCCCCCTGTCTGTGCACACCACTGTCTAGCGCAGTTAGGCGAGGTCCTTAATATTGAAAAATGAAATCACACTAGATGGTTTATATCTGGAGAGAGCGAGGGTAGCTGTAACGTTAGAGGCTAAAGGTCAGTTTTTTGACAGTTTTGCTCCAGAAAACGTTGTTTGTGATGTTTGATTCAGCTGTCCAGGATGTACTCCACCTCTTACTCCATGACCTCTGGCAACAGACTAGTTGAAGGAGGTGGTGTCTAAGAGTTGCAACTCAGTCTCACCTCTACAAACACCACTTTCATCACATGGTGCAGATAACTTTACATGTAATACAGTAACCTCATGAGCTGGGTCCAGATTTACTTCTCGTCTAATCAAGACCAGAGCTTGGACAATGTGGATTGCTGAACTAATCTTTAAAATAGAATTAAATGAATGAGAAGAAGTCAGACCCTGGATCAGTGTCAGATTCAGTCCTGGTTTATCTACAGTTTAAACCAGGATTGATCGAGTCCAGGACCAGTTTCTCACCGCAGCGTCTCATTGTAGATCTCCACCATGCTGACAGTGATGCTGTAGTCCCAGTCTGGAGCTTTTTCTGTCACCTCGCAAAACAGCAGGCGAAGCGCTCGCTGGTTGATGCCCGGATCATCGGTCACACCCTGAAAACAGAGTAGAGTTTACAGATGTGTTCACTGACACCTAGGAAAAAACTGAGGCTTCCTTAATACAACATGAATGGTAAATGGTAAATGGACTGTACTTATATAGCGCCGTTCTATCTTATTTCAAGATACTCAAAGCACTTTACACTACAATCTGTGCCTCATTTACCCATTCATACAGCACTCTACTAGATCTCTACAAAGCTAATTGAACAAATCATTCTAAAGAGACTCATCAGAGCTTTATCAGAGTCAGAGTCAGAGATTCTTTATCGTCGTTCGCACCTCATGTGGTACATGTGGTGGAGCGAAATTATGTACACAGGGTCCCAGTTACATCCAACAATAAAATGTATAAAAGTTGTAAGAAAAACAGTAATAACATCTAACATATGAACTAAGAAAAACATCAACTAAATATACACTAAGCACTCATAACATAAAACATTGAACATCAGCACAAACAAGAACATGAGTTTGTGTGAGCAGATGTGCATGCATGAACACATCAACATTGAAACAGATCAGCAGCAATATGAAACAGATCAGCAGCAACATGATGTGGTTTTTCACAGTGATTATTCTAGTTAGAGATTCATGAGTCTAACAGCCTCAGGGTAGAAGCTGTTCCTCAGTCTAGTGGTTCTACACTTAATGCTTCTCAACCTCCTTCCTGAGGGGAGTGGGGCAAAAAGTGTGTGTGCTGGGTGAGTGAGGTCCTTCATGATGCAGGTGGCCCTCTTCCTGCATCTGGAGGTGTAGATGTCTGTGATGGTGGGGAGGCTGACTCCGACAGTCTTCTGTGCAGCCTTCACCACTCTCTGCAAAGCTTTTCTTTCTGCAGCTGTGCAGCCTCCATGCCACACGTTGATGCTGGAGCACAGGATGCTCTCCACTGCACACCTGTAGAAGGAGGTGAGGACTGAGCTTCCCAGACCAGCTCTTCTAAGCCGCCTGAGGAAGTAGAGTCTCTGATGAGCTTTCTTGATCAGACTGGTGGTGCTGTTGCTCCAGCTGAGGTTGTCATTCATGTGTACACCAAGTACTTGTAGCTGGAGACCACTTCCACCGCAGATCCTCTTATGTTCAGGGGGGTGTAGATGCTTTTGTTCCTTCCTTCATCCACAATCATCTCCTTTGTCTTCTTCACATTGATGTGAAGGTTATTCTCTTTGCACCAGCTCTCCAGGTGTTCCCCCTCTTGCCTGTAGCTTGACTCATCATTGTTTGTGATGCATCCCACCACCACTGCATCATCTGCAAACTTTAAAATGAGACAGCCTGTATGGGTAGCTGCACAATCATACGTGAGCAGAGTAAACAGGAGGGGGCTCAACACACATCCCTGAGGAGAGCCAGTGCTGAGGGTTATGGTGGAGGAGGAGAAGTTGTCAGAAGAAGAGAGAAGTTATCACATTCATACAATGATGGGACACACATCAGAGGCTATGAGGGGTTCAGTGTCTTGCCCAGGGACACTTCAGCATGTGACTGCTTGAGGATTCAAACCCACAACTTCGCATTGGAGGTTGACTGCTCTAACCACTCAGTCACAGCCGCCCCATAGAAACACATGACTCGAGTTTGTTTTTCCAACATTTAAAACTCAACATCAGAGTTCCTCCCTTCAAACTGTTAGCATTATCTGAACATTTCCTCACACGTTCAGACAGTCATGAAGCTCAGAGATCATCGTACCTCCATGGTGTAGGTTTTCCCCGATCCTGTTTGCCCATAAGCAAAAATGCAGATGTTAAAGCCGTCGATACAGGAAGTGACCAGAGACTGGACTTCCTGGAACACCTGATGGACCATTCAGAGAAAAGACAGGTGGATGATTAATATCATGATACTGGATACTTCCTGGACTAACAAGGATTTTTTGTATGACAGTCAATGACAAAAACACAAGGCAGATCAGAGGCATGAAAAACATAGCTGAAGCTGTGTCCCCCCTCCACCCCACAATCACCCTAAACACCGCGCCCCCAGGGGTGTGTCCTCCCCAACTGTTCACACAACTCATGTACGATTGCTCAGATGAACTGTACTGGGAACAGTACTGGGAAGTTTGCAGGTGATGCAGCAGTGGTGCAAATGATCTCCAACAAAGCATTTTTGTGCCAACAGTTACTGTGCAGGAGGCGGGGGACACCCTGGACAGGTCTCCAGTCCACCACAGACATCGAAGCAATAGCATTAGCTACAATAAAAAGCTTGAAAACCTAAATGTTCCCCAAAGGCCAGTTAACTCTCAAAATGTCTCGTTTAGAAAATTTTCTGGAAGAATTTCCCAAAGGTCAAAATGTGACAGGTGGTACTAAGTTTCCGGGAACGTTCTGTACAGGTCAACATTTGGAGAACCTTAGGCATTGTTCCCTGAAGGTTATTTGAAGGTCACCTTGTGAGGGTTAACTTCAACCTTCAACCAAGTTTCACATCACGTGCACTGCAGTATGGAAGCACTGACAGGAGCTCCGCTTTGCTTCTGTCTTTTTTTGTTCCTGTCGTTTTTGTTTCGACTTTTTGCGCGTGCACTGCACACCCCACGCTGCAAGTGTGACCGCAATGCACTTTTGGAGCTTTGTGTCGCTGCCTTGTCATTGTGCCATCGTGGTTCAGGTCCCGGTCCCCTTTCCGCCTTGAGCTATGGCTCTGTCCACTCTCTGGACTCTGACATGTTTCTGTAGTTGTCCATGCGATGGACGTGTTTCTATGGCAGCCGTCTCCATGATCATCCATCTGCCTGAATGGACCGAACTCTACAGGACAATTCGGCTCCGTGGAGAAATTTTGGATGTTCTGTGTTCTGGTCCAGACCCAGTTCTGGAGAGCAGTCATCGTCCATTGCTGCAGTCATTATTACCATCATGCTGCTAACGGGACCACACAGCTAACAGGAAAACACCACTAACAAAACCACACAGTTAGCAGTACCATGCTGCTAAAAGAACCCCACTGCTAACAGAACCACTCTGCTAACAGGACCACGCTGCTAACAGGACCATGCTGCTAACAGCATCATGCTGCCAACAGGACCACGCTGCTAACAGCATCATGCTGCCAACAGGATCATGCTGCCAACAGGACCATGCTGCTAACAGGACCACGCTGCTAATAGGACCACGCTGCTAATAGGACCACGCTGCTAATAGGACCACGCTGCTAACAGCATCATGCTGCTAACAGCATCATGCTGCTAACAGGACCACGCTGCTAACAGCATCATGCTGCTAACAGCATCATGCTGCTAACAGCATAATGCTGCTAACAGCAACATGCTGCTAACAGAACCATGCTGCAAACAGTAAGATAGTTTTTATAACAATTATTTTACAGTAATTGCTTTTCATTGTTGTATATTGTCGTCTGTACCAGCCTATATGTTGTCTGTCTAAAACAGTCTTCTGTGAGTTACTAGTTTGTACTGATTCATCTTACTTGCACCGTTGTATTCTACCATGTAGTTTACTTTATTTCTTCTGGACCTTGCAGACATATTTCTTTTTCACATTTTGGTGCTTTGTTTTGTACTTTTGTTGCATGCTTTGTTTTTTGGTGAGTTGAGATGATTCTTCTCATCCCGAGCATTTCATTGCACCATTGACCTTGTGTTGACCTGAATATGACAAACAATAAACAAACGTTAACTTCAGGAACTTTCAGGGATCAAGTCATGACTGTGGGGGGTTTCTCCGGTTTCCTTGCACAGCCCCAAACTGTGCATGTTAGCTTCACTAGTAAGTCTGAATTGTCTCTAGGTGTTAGTGAAAGAGTGGCTGGTTATTTTTCTCAGTGTCCATTTCATGGACTGGAGACCTGTCCATGATGTCCACCGCCTCATACACAGTGACTGCAGCTGCCTGTGACTCTGAATAGAAAAGTGAGTAAAGAAAATGGACAAAGTTTTTGTTAAATGTCCTGAGATGACTTTTTGTGACCCGGTGTCGCTCTAAGTCCAGCTCACCTCCTCCTGCGTGGCCTGAGGCGGAAACACTTTGTCCAGCTCAAACGTCATGATCTTGCTCTTGTTGGAGAGGTAGAGGATGGCGTCATCATCAGAGTCGAAGCTCAGCATGTTTCTGGCGTCAACGGAGTCCTGCTCCTCCTGACTGACGGGCCGGACCCGGCAGAAAACTCGGATGTTCCCTGTGAACAACAGAGCGGGGTCATTTGGGCCTTACGGTTAGAAAACTCAAGGGGTTGTTCCAACAAATGAGACGGAATTTACAGAGAACACATTTTTACTTTTGTTCTTCTACAGAAAATGTTTTCCTCTCTGCTGCAGTTTGTTCTGAACAGAATGACCTGAGTCCTGCGATCTGACGCAGGTTTATGTAGAAATAGTTCAACTAGATCCTGAATTATAACTTGGAACTGATTTTACTGAAAAATTCTTCTGTTCACGAACCTGCAGCTTTTAATAGATTTTTAAAATAAAGTTTATTTGTTTTTATAAACAGTCATTTTATTTCAATCATAAATGATAAATCCATGAAATGAGAAACATCATAAAACTGATCTGCAGAATAAACAGACTGAGCATTCTGATGAGGAGCCCAGTTCAGCAGAGTCCTCAGCAGTCATGTGACCTCGAGCGTCGTCACTGATTGGCTGACCCTGTTGCAGCTGGAAGAAGCTCGACTGACAGGTAAAGCTGGGGTCCAACCTTTGAGTCGGACCAGCTCGTTGTGGCACTTCTTCCTCAGGTTCATCTCCCGCTTGTATTTCCTCAGCAGCTCCTGGTTGGTGCTGCTCACCTCGTTGATCACCTGACAGATCTGACACACAGCAGAACCATCAGAACACACGTCGTCATTTGATTGGTTGTTGATCTGCTCTGTGATGAAGAGGAGAACCCACCTCCTGCTTGGCCTCAGAGATGGCCTTCTCCAGCATGAAGGGGAAGTCCTGTACCTGCCTCTTCAGACAGTTGTAGTCCGAGGTCAAAGTCCTGAGAGCCGGCTGAAGGCTCAGCAGGTTCAGACGCACCCCTGCAACCACCATCATCATCATCATCAGATCAGCAGATTAATCACAACAACAGGGAGCTCACTCTGACCTGCCAGGTTCTCGTGCACGGCCTTCATCTCGCTCTCTGCTCGGATGAAGGCCTCCTCGATCACACGGTTTTTCTCCTCCTCCAGGTTCTGCACCTCCACCTCCAGCCGACCTCGAGCGCGCTCCACCTCCCCTTCGTAGACGACAATCTGAAGGACACGCTCACATCATGAACTCTGCACCAGACTTCTGGTCGCCCGTCGTTTCTTAGTTCATAGTTTTTTATTCTGCAGATGTTTCATTCAGTTTATCAGAACCATCAGAACCAAAACAGTAAAACATTTGCAGGAAAACATCAGCTGAGAGAAAAAGAAACGCTGCAGGAAACACTCCACGTCAAAACCAGGCCAGACCGTGGACCGCCAGTCCACAAAACTAGCGGAAAATTTTATTTTTTCCATTTTTTGCTTTTTTATTTTTTTTTTTTTTATTTTTTTAAACAAATTAAATTTCAGTTTATTTTTTGAGAAAACAGGATGAAAACAAACCTGCAGACAAAATAAAATAAACAAGCCAAAAACTTTAAGACCATTCAAATTTAATCTCAACAACACTTTTTCAGATCAGATGTCACTCCTTTAAACCAAAACCTTTTTCAGTTCTGTTTTTTTCTGTATACCAGCAGCCCCACAGACGTGTTTAATATCAGATTTACTTTGACCACACTGAGGATGATGTCACAGGGGGAGGGGCTAAATGCAGAGTTTATCCACAACTCTGAGTATTTTACCCAGAGTGAGGAGCGTGCATTCATCCTAGGTTGCTTGGTTGGAAATCCCGGGGAAGGTCTGATTTATTGGGTGGGAGGTGGGGTCTTGACACCCCCCCCCCCACCAAAAAAAAATAATAATTTGAGAAAACTATAATTTTAAACCACCATTTAATTTCGCAATACAATGCATTTATGTCTCTCAGAAATCTTTAACGACTGCGGTAGAGGTTTTGTTTACATGTTTCCATGACAACGTCAGAGCGTGTCTGTGTTTCTGGTCACTAAAAGTACTTGAACATTAAAAGCCTCATGACTGGTAACAACAGAGAAACTGAACCCACAGAAAAAAAAACAACCAAGTGCTTATCCTGATGCATGCTCAATAATCCTGGTAGAAAAATCTAAAAAAGTTAAATCTGGTCCTCTGGACATTCAAAAAAACAAAAAAAAGCAAAACAACAAAAAAATGTAGAAACGTTTCGTCTCTCATCCAAGAGACTTCCTCTGTCTGAGGTGCTGTATTCAGCTCAGTCTCTTAAATAGCACCTTCTCAGAGTGGATCAACCAGTTTTGTTGCTGACAACCAAAACCAGCTGATTACATGATCAAGAAGGACCATCAGCCTAACAATGGATCATTAGCACACTGATGGCTGTTTACTATTCACAGAGGGCTGAGTGATACTAGCAATCACAGCATTGTAAGAGGGGACAATTGAACACGTAGGCCTCCACCCCTGTTTAACGATGGACGGTTTCTTTTCACAAAGATGGCCTCCTTTACTCCTCTCTCAAACCATCGTTCCTCTCTATCCAGGATGTGCACATCTTCATCCCTGAAAGAGTGACCCCTGGCCTGGAGATGAGTGTAGACCGCAGAGTCCTGGCCTGATGATGTTGATCTTCTGTGCTGGGCCATCCTATTGGCCAGTGGCTGTTTTGTTTCCCCGATGTAAGACTGATCACAGCCCTCCTGACACTGAACAGCGTACACAACATTACTCTGTTTGTGCCGGGGAACTGGATCTTTGGGATGAACCAGTCTTTGCCGTAATGTATTTTGGGGTTTAAAAGCCACTGGGACGTTATGTTTAGAAAATAAACGCCTCAGTTTCTCTGATACTCCCTCAACATATGGAATGACCACTGGTCTGGGTCTGGGTTCCTCCTTTTCACCTGTTGGCTGACTGGAGTCCTGTTTGGGTTTCTTCTCTGCTTTCAGGAAGGCCCAGTTAGGATATCCACATTGCTCTAGAGCCTGTCTTGTGTGGGATTTCTCCTTCTGCCTGGCTCCTGAGCTAGTGGGGATGCTGTCTGCTCTGTGATACAGAGTCCTGATGACTCCTAACTTGTGCTCCAAAGGGTGATGGGAGTCAAACTGCAAATACTGGTCTGTGTGGGTGGGTTTGCGGTACACCTCAGTTTGCAAATGTCCTCTATCAGAGACTGAGACCTCACAGTCCAAGAAAGCCAACTTGCCATTTTTTTCATCTTCTCGTGTGAACTTGATGTATTTATCCACAGAGTTGATGTGGTCAGTAAAATGTTGGACTTCCTGAGATTAAATTTTAACCCAGGTGTCGTCAACATACCTGAACCAATGACTTGGTGGTGTCCCTGAAAAGGACGTCAAGGCTCTCTTTTCTACCTCCTCCATGTACAGGTTGGCAACAATAGGAGAAACTGGAGACCCCATAGCACACCCATGTTTCTGCCTATAATATTGCTCCCCATATGTGAAGTAGGTTGACTGCAGGCACAGTTTCAAGAGTTGACACAGTTGTTCTGTGGAAAGCGTGGTCCTGCTGCTCATAGTGGTGTCTGATTTTAATTTAAGTTTTTTTAATTTAGTTTTTTTTGAATGGCCAGAGGACCAGATTTAACTTTTTTAGATAAAACAAGTGCTTATTTAAAACGAGAAGATTTGAAAATGCTTGTTGAGAAAAATCTCACTGCAGTGAGAAAAATCCAAATCCTAAAACTATTAAACAAAATGTATCCAGGTGGACAAATCAAATCAAACTGTTCCATCATTTCTCAACTAGAACACACAGACCAGCAGAACTCTCAGTCCTGACCTAGACTCCAGCTGGGTCCGGAGTCGGACTCACCTGGGTCCGGAGCTGGGCGCAGGTTCTCTGCGAGTCGTGCAGCTGCGTCTCGAGCTCTCTGAGCAGCTGCCTCTGGACGTTCAGCTGCTCCTGCAGGGCGTCATTCTTCTTTTGCACCTCAGCCGTAGTTCTGTGTGTGTGTGCTGAGTCCACCGTCAGCGTCTGAGCCACAAACTGAGGGACAGGTCATTATTTCACCCTCTGACCAAAACCTCTGCTGTTTTCAACCAGGTGACCTAAAATGTCTGAAAACAGAGTCCACTGTAGAGAAAAAACAGTGATTCATGTTCTGAGATCACAGGTCATTCACAGTTTGTCCTCTCAGGGCTTCCATACAGAGCTGTCAGAGGATGGAAACATTTTCTGATTGCTTCAAACTTTTAAGCTCCGTCCCCACCTGTCTGTGCCCTCACCTTGACTCTCGGGGATGTGGCAGCTTGACAGTCGAGCTCCTCTTCATACTCCTGCAGTCGGAGGCGGAGATGGTTCTCCACCTCCCCCTGCCTCCTCCTGAACTTCTCCAGCTGCTGTTGCAGAGCCTCTTCTCTGCAGCTCCTCTCCTGCAGCAGCTGCTCCACCTCAGCCAGATGCTGCTCTTTCTGACGGGCCTGGACCTGCCAACGGGACACCTCCCTCCTCAGCAGCTCCACATCCTGCAGAACAGACAGGTGGAGAAGGTTCCTACTCACCTGAAACAACAACCCTGTGCACTGAGCACCCGAGCCCCTCAGCTGTCTGGGTTTACACCTGTACAGACTCACCTGGCGGTGGGGGCAGCAGCTGCAGCTTTCTGCAGCCGGGTCGAGCTTTTGAAGCTCTGAACTCCTGCATGACTTCAGCTCCTGCTTCAGACGCTCGTTCTCCACCAGCAGCCGCTCCAGCTGCTTCTCCAGGTCTGTCGCCCCCTGCAGGACAGAAGGACAAACATACTTCTTTCATAACTGGACGGTGGCTCAGTTAGTAGAGCTGTTGTCTCAGCGAGCAGGTGATCGCCAAATCAAATACCGGCTGGGGACCTTTCTGGGTGGAGTTTGCATGTTCTCTCTGTGCATGTGTGGATTTTCTCCTGGTACTCCAGTTTCTTCCCACAGACCAAAAACATGCATGTTAGACCGATTGGTAACTCTGAATTGTCCCTAGGTGTGTGAGAGAGAGTGAACAATTGTCTCTATGTGTTCCTGTGATGGCCTGGAGACCTGTCCAGGATAGAGACTGCTGGATATGGGCACCAGTGATCCAGAGCAAGGGCGACAGAAGCATCCATAATGTTGGGGGGACACAATGATGTCTGTAGGTGTCTGTGTGCGCGCGCGCGTAAAGAAGTGTACACTAATGTACAAAAAAAAGCAGCAATTCACCTAAATTTCCTTTAATTCCACACATTTAAAACATGTTTCTCACCAAGTTTGTGTAAATTCAGCTGTGGGTTTTAAAGACATTTTAACTTTAATACACTTTAATACAGAGCGTCAGGTCGGCACTATTTGTGTTTATAGAGAAATAAAAAACATCACCACTGGACTTTTTTACTTGTGTTCAATACTACTCATCTAACTCATGTTTCTCACGAAGCTTGAGGACAATAAGGTGTGGGGGTTTAAAATACGGATGCACCGATCCACTTTTTTTTACTTCCGATCCGATCCCGATACCTCAATCTGAATATCGGCTGATACCGATCCAGTTCCGATATCATGATCATCATTGATTTTATATGAGGCTGTAATAATCTCCTCTCAAGTACAATTTGTACAAATATATGCATGCATGTCCAAAAAGGCAAATTGAGGTAAGTTTTATTAATGTTGGATAAGTTTTAAAGTTAGAATTAAATTCTGCTAACACAAAACATGTTTCTTTTTATTCCTAGCTTTAAAGTGGATATTAAAGTGATTAATTTAAGTGATTGTTTAAAGTTATTTTATATTTTATAAAGGGCAGATATAAGAATTTTTTCTTCTTACTGCACTCTTTTCATTCAATGTTTTCTTTTTGATGATTTTTTTTTTTATTTTGTTTCATTTAAATGAATGAATAAATGAATTAAATTAAATAACATGTTAAATGGCTTCAAGCTAAGTTCATGGCATAAACCAACAGACATGTTCCTGTTTTTAGTATTTTACATCACTTTATAATGTAGCTGTTTATGTTTTTAATATATATAATTTTCAAATCATATGTTTTTTATTGTCTACTGTTGTACTGATGAATATCTCCTGGAGGGTAAACTATATCTTGACTGCAAGTATAAAGCTGAGAAATCCTTTGTTTTCTACAACTGATAGTGATTGGTCATTAATTATGATGAAGTTTAGCAACTTCTCGGTAAACATTTGAGCTCCGTGGATTCAGCGATGTCTTCTTCTTGTTCAATCTGAAGCAGGCAGCCTGATTTGGGGCAGCCGCACTCAGTCTGTCCCTCCTCGGAGACGGGCAGATTGAGCGGGGCAGATTGGACGCGGCTGGCCGAGGTCGAGTCGCCTCTTTCGGTTTGACCAAAGAATAGTGCCTCGCTGAAGCCACGGAGCTCGAATGTCCATCGTAAAACTAACTTTAACGTGGTTTAATGCGGCGCTATGGCTCTGCAGACATTGCACATTGCTGTCTTGTTTTGTGGTGTTTCTAGTGTAAAATACTTCCACACAGTGGACATGTTTCGATGAAAAGTTGGTTAGCAGTTAGCCACAGTGCTGCTAACTCAGTCCTCACGTTGCAACTAGCTGCAAACTATGAACTGGATTTTCTGAATGTGTGGCGGTCTTATTACTCTGGGCTCATGAGACACGCCGCCATTCAGGAAATCCATTCCATAGTTTGAAGCCAACGTGCATCATGGATCGGAAATATTGGCAGGTGGATCTGAAAAATCCGATACGTAAATTATGCTGGTATCGGATGCCGATACCGATACTGGATCGGACCGGCCCCATCCCTAGTTTAAAGACATTTCAACTTTAATGCACCTGAACACACAGCGTCTCTTACACCTGCAGCGTCTTACAGCGTCACAGTTACTGCTAAGTTAAGATGCTACAGACGTAGAGTTTCTCTCAAGCATCCTCCTAACATGAATATATGTTTATGATCAACATAATCTCGCTAAACTGGTGAGCAAGCAACACAGAGGTGTCTCCATCTCCTCCACCTATGCGTGTTTTCTGCCGAGGCAGAAGACTCAGCTGCTGCCTGAACAGTTTCTGCTGTGTGTAGAGTTGGAGGTAACCAGGAAAACCTGGAGTGGAGTTTTAGTAGTATGAGTATTCTCCTATTAATCAAGTGGAATGGATTCGTTCTTGAAGACAGAGAAACTGTGCCGCCTGAACTAATGTTTCACAGTAAAAGTGGGGGGGGTCCAAATTAACGTTTTTTTTTATGGGGGGGGACTTGTCCCCTTCACATATAATGGTTGCGACGCCTATGATCCAGAGAGGAATAAGTGGGTAAAGATAATTGATGATCCATCCATGGTGTATCTCACAGCCTCAGATGTTTCAGTGATGTCACGCTGTGGTTCTCCAGATGTTCCTCTCTGAGTGTCATGGTCTTTGTGAGAATTGTGTTCATCGTGAAACCAGAGCAGTGATGGTGTTCAGCATTTCGCCTGGTTCTGAACGTAATAAACACTGTTCAGGTCAGGGTCACAGGATCAGACCTTCAGGTGCTGTGTGAGGATTCAGGTCTGGTTTTGTGCTTCACATTCGATTCAGAGACTCAGAAACAGGTTAGTGAGTGCTTGCTGCTGAGGAATGTGACCCGGTGGGCCCTCACCAGCTCAGAGCGAAGTCTCTCCACCTCTTGGGTGTTATCCAACAGCTCCTCCTCCAGCTCCTCCACCTGCAAACACAGCTGAGATCCTTTCAGTTCCAGACACCAGTTACAGGACTCATCCAAAATCCAGACAAGGAGAATTAAAACCTTATAATGACATGTTTTAAACTTTAGATGATACATTTCATAAGAACTGAACTGATGAGCTTTTTGTACTGAAACATTCAGCTTCCTCTGGATCTTTAGATGCAGTTTTAGTTTTCTTTAGCAGAACTGCTTCAACATTCAGTTTGTTCTGAACCACAAAGACCATCAACACCATAATACCTCCTCTGTTTATTACAAATCAGACCTGATGGAGGGTAGGACAGGTCTACACAGGTGTGCTGCATTACCTGTGCACGTACCTGTGTGCGCAGCTGAATAACGAGCTGCTCGTTCTCTGAACACCTGAAACAATCTGAATGTTCTCCGGCCTGTAGCACCGTCACACCTTAGAAACACAGAAAGACACGTTAGGTTCTGTTAGATGTCTGATCCCATCAGGATCCAGCTCCAGAAAACATTGAATGGGTTCAACCATCTGGATCCCAGTCCAGAACCATTTGGAGACATTCTGTTTGGAGAAAAATTGAGACAACCAAATATTTTGTCCAGATGGCTCCAGAACAGATCTCAGGTCAGTATGGGAACAAAACTGACCAGAGTTGTCTGGTGTTTTCCTAACCTGGAAGGTTATTAAGATGAACTAATCACAGTTTACGCTGTGTGCATGTGTGTGTGTATGTATGTGCGTATGTGCGTGCGTGCGTGCGTGCATCTCACCATTAGGTGTGGTCGATGACTGCTGCTCCTGCAGCTTTCGAAAGTCTTTGAGCGTTTGCTTTTGGACGCTGTGATGCTGCGCCAACAGCTGACGGGCAACTTCCTCAGAGCGAATACGAGCCTGAAACTCACACACTTTGTCCTGAAGAGTCTAAACACACACACACACAACAGATAAAATGATTACATACCGTGTGAGTGATTTGTAACGAGACAATTTTTAGAAGCTGTTTGGATGACTAAACCCATCTGAGACCCGTCAGACACATGAGGGGAGGATAAAATAGGGAAATGTTACAGAAAGACACCAAGGCCCCACCCACATTGGAAGCTTTTTCTAAATACTTTAACATATTTTATTGTTTCAGCCTAGCGTCAATACAGAAACTGTATTTCGGGAACCATAAAATAGCATGTTTTACAAACGAGAGTGAATCCACTCATGTTTTCATGTGGACAGCCAAAACAATTTGCTGAAAACTGAAGTCATAGCTCCTCCAGTTACAGATCCTAACCCATGACCCCAAGTGGACCAACAACAATGACGAAATTTATTCTTGTGCTTTGTAGAAACCAGTATCTCAGTTAAAACCAAACCATTTATCCTGTATGAACTGTAGTGAACTAAGCCTCAGGTCAAAAGCCTTCCTGGGACAGGAACTGTTATTTCATTGATTTGTATCCAGAAATACAAATTAAGCTCATCCAGAGACTTTCTACTTGTATCCTGCACTGATCAATTGAAAGAACACTCTCTTTTTTATTATCATTACTATTTTACAATATCTTGATAATCAAAGTGTGTTTAGTTCAAACCATTTTAAATGTTGAAGTGAACTACTCATTTTAAATCAACTGTGAAACAGTATTAATGATTTTTAATCCTCATTCAAAGTAGAAATCTAGTTAATGTCTGTTACAGAGTAATTATTCATTTTCTTGATCTTCTGTCTGAAATGAGCAAGTTGTGATGTCGGTCAAAAGTCGGAGACAAACGCAAACAAGTTTATTGGAACGAACTGTCATGTTTTTAAAACCTCTCAGACAGAAACAGAGGAGCTGGCACCTGCTTTCTGTCATCTCGCCTAAACATTTCTCTGTCTGTTCCAAAAACATTTCTCCGTCTGTTCCAAAAACATTCCGCTGTTTTTCTGACTTGTAATCACCTATAACGTCCCTAAAACCACACCCCGGTTGGTTCGTTCAACCAATCAGGAAGTTCTCAGAGGAACCGGAAGTGACCTCTTTAAAAGGGACGACACTTCCTAGTTCCAGGCAGAACAACGGGAACTACGCAGAACAAAGTTCGGAGAGCAGAACCGAACAGAAAAGTTGCTGGAGAGAACAAGAAGTTCCAGACATGATCCGAAGTTCTTCCGAGTCTCGTGGGAATTATGGAATCTTCCACATTTGAGTGGAACTCTGACGGGCTCACAACTCATGTGAGTCCACCTGAGAGGTGAGTGTGGTGTTGAACGAAGTACCGTCACTACTTTGGACGATTCGCAGCTGTTCCTATGGAGACGCTGGAAAGGTAGCGTTAAATGGAACTTCGTACCATTGGAGACATCTTCTACAAGGTAACGAGTCCCTCACTACCGAAGTGTACCGAGGTGGAGCTGGGTTCGGATGGAGGGTGCCGTTCGTTATCAACCCACTTTTCCCTCATCCATTTCCTCTCCATTTAAACTCCTTCATTTCCCCATCTTTAAAACTCTTCTATCTTGCCAGTAAATCATCCAGATATTTTCATAAATGTCTGTTGTAATTAGTTGCAAGTGAGATATCATGGCCGTATGATTTTCTCAGTGCAAAGCTCATTAATTAAGCTGTGTTTATTGTAATCAATTTTGCCAAATTATTGTAAATGTGTGATGTGTTTAAATCGTTTTTAAATAAACGACCCACTGTTGTTGGTGAGTCAAAGATAAAACACGTTTCCGTCCACATTTAAACATTCAAGGCACGAGAGTACTCAGTCCAGAAAAATGAAAGAATCCGTTTAAATTATGAATAATATCAGACACAGGTATCGTTCATTACAGAACAAACAAGCAGAGCAAAGCTCTCACTACACAAAATCATCTGAGGAGGAGAGGTTTGTATCACATTCACTGTGAACAATACAGCAACAAATGTTGCAAAAATAGCTATAGTATACATCAAGTACAGCTTTATAAAAAGTGCATCATGTTCTACATATCTATGGCACCACTGAGACCTTGACTCTACAATGTTTCCATTGCTCAAGCTTCTTGTAGCAATCCCAAGTGACTAACATCAGGAAGGAGCACATCTGCCTTCTTCTCTTGCTTGTCAACCACTACGTCTGGTTGGTTAGCCATTCATTCAACCTTTATTTATACAGGTTAATCCCACTGAGTCTCGGGGACTCATTTATAAGAGAGACCTGAGCCATCACCTGGATCTGGAAGTCTCAGTTTCTTAGCCCTGCCATTCTCCACCAACCTTGGGGGAGTCTCCCATTTTGACTGTGGGACCTCCAGTCCATACTTGGCACATATGTTCTTGTATATTATTTCAGCCCCTTGGTTATGGAATTCCATGTACGCTTCGCCTGCCTAGGTCTTACACCCTGCTATGATGTGATGGACAGTCTTAGAGGCATGTTTGTACAGCCTGCATCTTGGGTTCTATTTTGTATAGGCTTCACCCTGTAAGACTATCGCTAGTGGGTTTATCCCTACGCGTGCAGCACAGCAATGAAAACTTTAGTCCACGCCCACCTACTGTGTGGGCCTCACCCCCGGTCCGTATAAATTACGGTGAGACCGAGTAATCGGCTCCCATTTTTTCCCTTCAGCCAGCTAGCTAGCACTGTCAGAAGAACGAAGAAGGAAAAGTTGTCCAGCTTTAACCGGCACAACCTTTGCTAAGGATGCCTGGGTCTCTGCCACGCCAACCTCCTGCCGTCCCGGTGAGCTCTTCCTCCCTGAGGAGAAGCAGAGACTAGCAGCCTTGTTCAAGGTAAGCGCCGAGGAGTGCTTTTCCGTGGCAGGCCGCTACCTGCTGGACGACGCCATCACCTTTTCTAATGTTTTTTTCCTCATGGTAATCGAATGATTTCTTCAAAAAAGGCGATGTTAGCAGCAGCCCCGCTGAATGTTTTTCCATGGAGGGCTGCTACTCGCTGGACGACGCCACCGCATTTTCTAACGTGTTTATTTTCCTTGAAGTGAATCAGATGATTCCCTCAAAAAAGGCGTTGTTGGCAGCAGCTCCGCTGAGTGTTTTTTTCCTGTGGCGGGACGTTATGCACAGGATGACGCCACCGCCTTCTTTGACACAGAGTCACGCAGTGAATCAAATGATTCCTCCGAGAAAGGTGATGCGGAGCTGCCCTCTCCCTCCTGGAGAGCGTAGTGACGGAAGACGAGCGGCCAAGCGGATGCTCAGCCACATCGGATCTTCCCACGTCGGCAACCACACTGCTCCCAGCCATCGGCGCCCTCCTTTCGGAGCTGCCCGGCATAATCCATGAGGATGTTAACACAAGGGACTTTCTGTTCCTCGCCTCCCTCCGCCCTGATCGGATGATCTGGTGGCAAGGTTGGCTCTGCCCCAGCTCGTCGCCCTGACTCCATCTGGCCTCACTGTCCAGCTGTGAAGTCACACTGGAACGAGGCTGCAGCTGGGCCCGGCAAACTGAAGACATCCGTCTCCACCTTCATCTCCATCTCCAGAGTGGAGGGTTTTACCGATCTGTGTTTTTCACTCGGTCCCCCCCGGAGCCAAGCCTGGCGGTGGCACTTGGGGCAAAAGTTTCCCGGATAGACCGGCAACCTATCCCTCCAGGGAAGCATGATCAGATGGTGACAAGGTTTCCAACCGAGCTCACCAGTGCTCATTCCAGACAGCTGCAACAAACAACAATGTTGCCCTTCAGGACCATCCTTGAGAAATCGCAGAGGTCCGAGAAGGTCTCAGAGACTGTACACCATCTGGTGATGTCACAGTCCTCCTCTCACCTCCCCAGCCAATGGAGGGACCGCCTTGGCCAGCAGCAGCAGCAGAGGTGCTCCACAGCTGTGGCAGAGACACCCTGCTCCTCCGCCAGCCCCCTCCACCAGGTAACAGATCCTTGAGGGGAAGGTATGTGTTTTTTGACGATGTATGTTTTTGATATAAAACAGAAACACCTTTGAAAGTAAAAGTTTTCATCTGAAACTGTCAGATCAGCTGAGCTCACAGATGGCTCTCTTCACACTTTCTCCACACAGAATGAGCCAGTAACTTCTAAACAGCATTGCAAATGGCACCGCAGTTCAGTAAATATCACAAAACACTCGTCTGCCACGTCAGCTAAAATTATGTTTTTTCAGCAGACAGAGTCTGGTAAAATCCCTCGTTTTTCAGCCAGAGCCCGTTTTTAATTTCTGTCGTTTTCTGCCCACTCACAGTACAGCGGGAGTAAACGTGTTTTCTCCACAACAGCTGCAGCCTCCACCGAAACAGCGTCTCACTCAGAAAGCGCTCACGCCTCCTCTCGGTGCGTGCCGGCTAACCTCAGCTCTATGTGAGACCGCAGCCTGGACTCAGCACAGAGGCACACATACAGCCCTTTTTTCTGTCGGGGCCTTCCTTGGGTTCTCCCCGGAGAATCTCCGGAGCGAGTGATGACAGTAAGGATTTTTAGTCTGGTTGACGTTCAAGAGAAGCATGACACAACACAAATGCGTGCCCGCTCTCAGAGCGTTACTCAGAGTGGCAGCGAGTGTGTTCCCTGGACAGATGGACGGACCGTCTGATCAGAAGGGGTTACACGCTGCAGTTTGTAGCTCAACCCCCACCGTTCAGAGGGATTATAGAGATGGTTCTGTCTTCTCCAGAACAGAGCTCATCTCTCCAGTCAGAAGTTCAGGAATTTCTGATGAAAAACGTGATTTCCAGAGTTCCCAACGGAGAGGAAAATACTGTTTTTTTTCCTCCCACTACTTCCTGGTTCTGATAAAAACCGGAGGGATGAGATCCATTCTTGACCTGTTCATGTTCAGCAATTCGATCATGGGGAGACAATTCCACATGCTGACAACCAGCTGTTGGAGAACTTCACCAGAACGACTGGTTTTCACCTCCATAGATCTGAAGAGCACATATTTTCACATTTCCATCATTCTGAAACACCCCACGCACGTTCTCAAAATGTGTGAAGATGGATCTGCAGTCATTACACATGGCAGGAATGAGAAATCTTTTTATCTGGACAATCTGCTCTTATTAGCTCGGTCCAGTTAGAAAGCAGTCGCACAGACCAAAACACTAGTGCTACACCTGCTAAACCTGAGGTTTCTATAAAAAGGGAAAAAGTTCTGTTCATCTGTCCCAGATGATTGTTTATCTGGAAGTGGAGTTAAACTCAAATACAATGAGAGCCCGTTTATCACAGCTGAGAGCTGAAGCTCTGTCAGCTCAGCTCCGCTGTGTCAAACCCAGCTCCGCCGTGTCAAACCCAGCTCCGCCATGTCAAACCCAGCTCCGTCGTGTCAAACCCTGCAGCATAGTGAAAGTTCTGCCTGTCATGAGACTCCTGGGACGATGTCAGCGGCCAACATTGTGGTTCCGCTGGGCCTACTTCACATGAGATGCCTTCAGAGATGGTTCACCCGCCTGCGCATAGATCCTGTGAGCCAGAAGAGGTGGATTATCTTTGTGCCCCCCTCCGTGAGAACCGACCTGAATCACTGGGGAAACCCTCTCATTCTGTCAGAGGGAGTTCCCATCAGCAGGGCTATGTCACACGTCTCAGTTTTCACTGACGCATTCCTGTCAAGCTGGGAGGAATGTGTCTGTCCCAAACAGTGGGAGCACAGTGGCTGGACCACATGTCGCTTCACATAAATGTGCTAGAATGTTTTCACGGTCTTAAACATGACTCAGCATTTTGCCCCTGCTGCGGGATCAGCATTTTCTGATCCACACAGACAACAAAGTGACAATAGTTTACATAAACCGTCAGGGAGACGTGCGCTCAGCCCAACTGTTACGCATCGCGAAACAGCTGTTGTGTTGGGCACACAAAAACCTGCTCTCCATCAGAGCAGTGTACATTCCCAACGTCCTGAACAGGAGAGCGGATATCATGTCGAGAGGCGGTCCCCGCTACAGAGACTGGCGCCTCCATCTCGAGCTGATTTCTCGGATTCTGAGCAGGTTTGGCCGAGCAGCAGTGGATCTGTCCGCCACATGGGAGAACGCCCAGTGTCAATTATGGTTCTCACTGAGCCCACGAGACGACTCACCGTTAGGAGTGGACGCCTTCGCTCACAGCCCGTGGCCAAAAATGCTCCTTTTATGCGTTCCCTCCAGTCCTGCCGATATCATGGACCCTGGACCGAGTCCGAGAGGAAGAACCGTCAGTCATCCTCGTAGCTCCCTAACAGATATGCGCTCCGTGGTTCCCGGATCTACAGCGACTGATATGGGGTCAGCCGTGGAAACGGCTGTGGGGAGCGCTCTCCTCCAGGCAGGAAGAGCGATCAGGAGTTACCCAGAAATAGGTCAGCATCTTTGGGTCTGTCCGCTGAACAGATCCATTTAGAAAAGATGGGCCTCCCACAGGATGTGGTATGTATGCACAGGGTGCACAAGCTGCTTCCACCACAACGCTGTACACATCAAGTGGACAGTTTTTCAGCCCTGGTGTGCAGAGAAAGGCGTGGAGGCCATCTCGTGTCCACTAGGTGACATGCTGTCTTTTCTGCAGCAGCTGATGGACAGAGATCTAGCGTTCAGCACAATTAAAACTTATGCTGCAGCTATTTCTTCCTGTCACGAGGGCTTCGGTGACAAAACAGTTCTTAATCACCCGTTGATGAAGCATTTCCTGAAAGGTGTACGGAGACACAGACCTGTGTCATGTATACTAGCTCCACAGTAAGACCTAATGATGGTCCTGCACGCTCTGATCAAAGCTCCTTCTGAGCCTTTAGATCAGGTTTCACTTAAATTTCTGTCATTTTAAACAGCCCTGTTGTTAGTTCTGACGTAGGCAAAGAGAGTGAGTGATTGTCTGCTCTCTCTGTTGCTCCCTCATGTCTCAGAATTCAAGCTGACGGCAATTCAGCTGTACTGTGTTTTAGCCCTGCTCTGAAAAGCATCACAAGCTCATTCAGATCGAGAGTGATAACCTTGGATGGGTTTTATCCTCTTTCTCATAATTCTGAGGAGGAAGCAACATCTCACCTCCTTCTGTCCCATGCACGCATTTTCACGTTACGTGGCGCACACGGCCACACTGCGCCGCTTTCAGCGTATGTTTGCATTACTGGGACAGCTCTTCAGGACTTCCTCTATCCACTGGTAGGATTTGTTGAGATCAGCCACTTCCTCAATCTGTCTGTGGTACATGCCTTGCAGGGGCTTATCTTTCCATGATGGCTCCTCTTGTTCTCCTCTTCCACATTGGGTTTCTGCAGCTGCCTGAAACATTCACTTATCATTTCATCATCAAGGGTTTTCCTCCCAAT